AGAAGTAGAAGCGATTTACTTAGTAAAATTTTGAGTTTTCTTGAAAAAAGCAAAAAAAATAAATTTAGCTATATCTCTGCAACAAAGAACTTTAGAGATATAAAACTAGGCTGTCTATATGTAAAATTTTGTTAAAAACAATTTTATTTAGGCAGCCAGAATGTGTTTACTTAATAAAATATTGAGAAAAGTGCAATTGTTTTTAAAGAAAACTTGGTATAAGTGATCATTGGGAAAAATTAGTTTGTATTGTATATTATTAGTGTAAATATATATAATAAAAATATATAATAAAAATATATAATTAAAATACTATATATAATATATCCAAAATTAAAATATTTAATTATTCTAATTTAATTTTTAAATAAATTATTTAAAAGTATATAGATTTATTACAAGGCTTACTAGTATCAATTCTTTAATCCAGCAGAACTATATTAAATTTAATTTATAATATTTATAATCTAATATTAATAGTAAACTAATAATAAATTAGATACTGTAATAAATAGGAATTAAAAATTTTTATTCTTAATATATGTATATAATATTCTTTTATTATTATTATACTTTATATATTTTTAGGTTATTTGTATTGAATTAATAACTTATTCAAAATAAGAAGTTGATGATGGCTTAGTAAATTAGCATGAGAATTTCCTGAATATTTAAACTATTGCAAATATGTAATTACACTAATAGATAGAACTCTGCATAGTAAATGTATAAATTAAACATATATGTGAATTTACTCAGATTTGAGTGAAAACATTCTAAAGGTTAAAAATGTATATAAGTACTTTGAATTCAATAAAGGATGAAGAAGTTATCAGAAAGTTCTTGTTCACTTTTTTTTTTTTTTTATTAATATAATACCATAGTAGAAACTTTATTACAAATAGAAAAATAATTCTAAACCTAAAGATTTCTAACTACATTTGTGTTATGTAAGGCACCCAATGTGACATTACACCTCCTATTTTCTATAAAATGCTATAGTTAATTATTTCAAATTAATTTCTAGCTAGGATAGGTTGGAGGAGACCTAAGGTGATAGTCATGACATTAAGTAAAGCATGCAGTTAAAGCATATCCTTGTAAGAGCCATTTATTAATAAAAAGATTAATATCTAAAGGTTGTATTGTAATTTGAGAAATATTTGAAGAAATAAATGTATTCAGAAAATAAGATTTTGTACGTTTAGCTTTGGCAGTAATATTTCGAAAGAGTTCCCATTGATGTTGATAGATGTTACGAATAGACCATAGTTCTTGACAGTACCAAGATAAGAGATTATTAGAGAGATTAATAAGAAAAGAGTCAGTATTTTTGTTGAGTAATGTTTTGATATTGTTGTATATAGTAGTTGAAAAGGTGCCAGTAATTGTATGTAGTATAGAGAGATAGTGTGGATTAGAAGAGTTGGCAGTAAAGTTTAGTAAAATGTTAAGAAGAGTATTGGAGAAATTGTTAAAAATTTAAAGAGTTGTTAGAGTTGTTTGAATTATATTGATGAGTCTATGAGAAAGATTGATATTATTATTAGGACAGATAAGTAGATGAAGAGTGTTTTCAGAGTTAGAACATCGAGAACATATTGATGTATTGTAGAGATAAGAGTATCGAATATTAAGATTTTCCATAGTAGGAAGATTGTTTGTAATGATTTTAATACGAAAAGAATATTTAAATGTATCATGTTCTAGGAATTTTAATATTTTGAAGTTTAGAGCCCATTTAATTTTTGGAATATCTTTAGTGAACTTTAGTGTAGACCATTTTGAGAGTTCTTGAATTGTGATAGTATTTTTAATAAAAGTATGCATTTTAAAAGATATTAAATGGTTATTTCATAAAAAGTGATTTGGAAAAAATGAGAAGGAAAATAAAATATTTGTTTTGGAGCATCCTCTTTTGGCAAGTAAATCAGCCTGGTTGTAGTAAAAATTATTAGAGTGAGATTTGACTTTGTGAAGTTGTATATTAATGTTTTTAGTGTTCTTGAGATAATTTATAAAAAAGATAATATCCTAATTTTTGTTTTGTATAAGTTTGGTAGGAAGGGTAGATTGTAAGTTCTTGATTGCAGTTTTGTTGTTAATATAAATATTGATAGAGGAGTTAGATAGCAAAGCAAGAAGAAGACTAAAGATTGCCTCTAGTTCAATACGAGTAGAGTCAGGGTATGAATGAGTATTGGCATTAAAGCAAATAGAGGCATTAGATTTGCAAACCCATCCTATGCCAGTTTGAATATATGGAGATTGGATATTTTTAATAGAGCCATCTGTATAGAATTCTAAACTGTTGTGATTAAGGTTATTTATAAGGTGAAAGAGTTGAATTAATTAATTTTGGTAGGTAGGTGAATTTACTGTTTGTTGAATAAGTTGAACTTCATAAGAGGGTATATTTAATTGGGGTTGAGGTGGAAGAGTAGTTGACACTAATAAGTGATTATTAATATGAATGAAAGCTAAAATTTCTTGATAGTCAATTTGTAATTGATTGTCATAAAATTTAAGTTGGTTGTAAAGAAGTTTGAAAGAATGAAGAGTTGGTAAAGATGGTAATGTAGAGGAAGTAAGTGAGATAAGACCAGGTGTTGAATTTGTAACTTTGTAGATATTGAGTTGTGTAAGATTAATTTGGTAAGAAAGATAAATTTGTTGGTTATTTGTATAGGAAATTTGAAGGAATGAAGAAGGATTAGAAAGGAAAGATATAGATAGGAGGTCAATAGTATTAATAAAGGTATTTGTAGGAGGTAGATTAAGAGAAGGCCAAGTTGTAGATATAGTATTTGTTTGATTAAGTTGAGAAATTTGTATAAACCATAAGG